AAGATATCTTTGATGTGAGAAAGAGGACCGATAGGGACTCGGAGCACTATCTAATATATTATCAGGGATTAGAGCACCATCTAAAATGTTATCTCATTGACCAGCAACTCAGTGACATACTGTTGTCTAAACTAATAGACATTGTCGTTAGTTGCTGTCTGTAATATTTGTTTTCCGTTTATTGTTTCTAGCATAAAACAGGCCATCGGTATTCTCTTTTGAATTGTACATTTGCACATGCCGGGCCTTTTATAGCGTACTAGTATGCGTTATGGGTTTTGCTCTTTGTAAATTTTTGGGTTTTTCGTTTATTGTTTCTAGCATAAAACAGGCCATCGGTCTTCTCTTTTGAATTGTACATTTGCACATGCCGGGCCTTTTATAGCGTACTAGTATGCGTTATGGGTTTTGCTCATTGTTATTTTTGGACTGTACCTTTACTGGAGTTCTGTGTAACAAAGCTTCTCTTCAATCCATTTTTAGATTTAAAGAGCGCTATTGTGTACTTACTCTACTTGAACTGAAGAGCAAATATCCCAATCAATCAACATATGGAGGCTCTTGTTAATACTCACTCTGAAACATTTCAAAGCTGTGTACTCCACAAGATGCAGATAAAAGGGGAATCTCTCGTATACAGACAATCCACAAAAAAATATTAAAGAAAGTATCAACAGAAAATAACATCTTCTCTCTGCAAGATAAACCGTGAAAAAAACAAAGAAATTAGAAGGTAAGGAGGCATGATGGTTTGTCAGCAAGAGGATTGTCATTGTTTGGTGTGTAATCAGACTATTAATTACTAAGTATATACCAGGTGTATATTAACACTAACACGGGATCTGCATTTGAATTTGATTAAAAACAGTTTGGACAGAGGGTTAACATTTTCCCTAATTTTTTTACGGTATAAATACTTTAATGGTCTGTCATTTATGTATATAAACAATCTTGTTTGCTTGTTTTCTTCATAATTTTGTTTAAAAAATTATGCCCGAGTTCCCTTGCAATTTACTTATTCTGATAGTTTAAAGGCATACATGCATATGCAGTTCATGGTTAGGGAGAACATACATTGTTGTTTGCCTAACATACAGTGGCCAATATTTCATGTATATACGGACTGAGAACAGATAAACACTCATATTTATTGGTGGTTTTTTGCAAAGTGGGTCAACAAGAATGAAGGACATGTAATTTAGACTGACGTTATTGAATGAGAATGTGCTGGATTGGGGCAGAAACTTTGCTTTGCAACAGGTCACATACAGACCCATCAAAGTGAACATCTAATGGTTCTTTTTACGTGTAGAAAGTTCGGTATTTTCCCTATACAGATCGGATTCATTCTAATTGGGTGTGGTTGCACGTGCAATACATCCTACCCAGCAAATACAGAACCCCTTCTATCGCATGGGTTTACTACTAGTGGCCATATTTCTATACCCAAGTCTCAAGACACTTGCATATGACCAGACAGGAATATAGAAAAATCCAACTTTAGAAAAACCGTGCGCTCGACTCTATCTATTCATTTTCTACAAAACCTGCTGCATGTACCTCATGAAGGTTATTCCAAAATTTTATAACATTTGTTCAGATTTCCAAACTATCTTTAAGTTGTAAGATTATCATAGTTAACAGATTTTTTTTTTATTCATTAGTGCAATATACCACCATGATTTTTGCTACTTTTTTCACCTTTTAATCTTTTTTGCATAGTTGTATCAGGTATTAATTTTCTAGTGCGTAGAAAACCATGATTTGTTATCAGCTAGTTTAATACTCTGGACTTGCTTTCAGTTATTGAAGCATTCCTTAATAAGGTATAATATTGTTTATTATTTTGTGATTTTGTCATCTATTATACAGGTTTTTTGCAAGTTTTATGTTTTCCTGTACTGATTTTTATTTATATTTTCTTTATGTTTGATTTGTTAGTTTACTAATCGAGATTTAAAAGGGGGAGGCTTGAGATAAAAAAGAAAATGAAGAAAAAACCAACAGCATATTCATGTGCCTATCCCAAGACAGGAACCTTGTCATTGGTTGTCTTATGTCATATTTGAAGTTTATGTCTTTAGAATATGGTATTGACAGCGGATTGTTAATTGTTTCTGTACAATTTAGAGCTTGACTTGCCCTTTAAATATGTTTTGGTTATTGGGCGTAGGTGTCTGTATATATCCCCTATATTTAATTATATCTGTTGAATTTTCATGAAATTTTAAAATGAATAAATACCTCTATTCAAGATGGCAACATTTGTGTAGGTTCAACCAATATACTAAAATTGTGTGAGATTTTGAAGCCACTTAAATACAGAATAAAGAAAATAAACTTTGTTAAATTTTACATACTGTAAATTCAGAAATTTGTGTGTGCATTTATGTTTGTGATTGTTGAACAAAAGACACAAATATGTGATTAATTATTGAGATCTCAGAAATGCTGCATACAAATAATTCTATCAAAATTCAAAATGCCAGATTTTATATTTGCAAATCCTATTCTGTCGCAACTTTCACAATAATACAAACATTTCTGAACTACAGTAACAAGGTCTAAGCTATTGCATTCGCAATGGAATTGTGAATGACTATCTCCATGAGGACACTACTAATTATGATTTCACAAGAAAATATTCTGGTAAATAGTAATATTTAAAAAAATCAAAATAAATCCAAAATTACAATATTATGATATCATTTCCATCTTAATGTAGCAATCAATGAGGACAGGAGCCTACAGGAGTTTTGTGTAAAACTCATACCAACCTCAATTTATTTTTCTACTGACAAATTCAAACGGACAGCATTCAGAAATAAACATTTCCTGGGACTTTATCGAGGTTACTGCCTATGCATGCAGAAAAATAGAGACGACCTGTTCTTAAATTTCTTTTAAAAATTAATTAAAAAGTTCTATTCTTGTAAAAAAAACTTCCTTTAAATTTTCAACCCGAACATCAGTTACTTTCACACTAAGACAATATTTTAAATTGAAAATTGGTTTATGAAAGGAGCTTTAGGTTTTTGTGTGTACATGATTTTTTATATATTTTTTTTTCCAATCATGTCAATAAATAATGAAAAAAAGACAATAGGAATTTGCATGAATAATTGAAATAACAAAGTTTAACAGGTAATATTTTAAAACATATGATTGTGGTTTTAAAAATGATTTTTAATAAGTTTCTTTATCAAAATAAATAAATTATTGATTTGGTTATCTTGATCATAAGAAGAGTTACTTTTCTATCAACAAACTTACCGAAGATTGATTGATTGATTGATTTTTTGGTGTTTACTGCTTCTCTGCTAAGCATGCAGCATTGAGACTGGATGTCTTGGAGTTACAATAATGGGTCCTGGCAATCCCGAGTTAATTCAAATTGGAGTCAAATGCACCCACAACGTGAGGGTTCGAACTCACAACCTCAGTGTTGACAGGCAAGTGATACAGTAAATGAACTACCGGTACTTAGACCACTCAGCCACAGAAGCCCTAACTTACCAAAGAGAGGTTACAGATAACTAACAATCAGAATGGTTTCTATGTATAGTTTTATTTATTTTGTAAATAATTTGATTATAGAAAACAACTATTAAAATAAACTGTTGACACAGAGATATGTCTCGCCTGCAGTATGTAATATTGAAGGTAAAATGCAAATGTTGATATCAAATTGCAATACTTTATCATGTTAACTATGCAAAACATCCACAGTAAATGAACCATGACTGAAGGTTCAGGGCAACATAATCTCCATTGAAATGAGATATTTCAATGCTAAAACAACTGCATACCAAATATCATTGACTTATCATGACTGAGGGGGCAGGCCAAATAATATAATTTCAATGGAAATGAGATATACAAATGCTTATACACTGCATACCAAATACCATTGACTTCTCATAAGTGGTTCCCCTTAAACTGACCTAATCACAAACTTTAACTTTAAACTAATTGTTAGAGCCACTGACGCTTCCGAAGCCACCACAGGTGGTGGAAACTGCACGCTAAGTCACTGGTAGTGGAAACAGCACGCTTAAGTCTCATTTCTTCACCTTCCTCAAAGCAAGATAAAAAATCTGTTCCTAAAACTATGAAAATCAGATCATGAAATATATACAAATGTATTAAACAATTAAAACAAAATAACAAAACCGGTAAAGCAAACACAAACTTAACAAGTACATGTACATAAAAAATTGTGAAAATATCTCTACAACATTTCACTTATAAAAACATTTAAAATATTTTGTTCTCCTTCTTAAATACAATTCAGAATAAATGTCTCAAAATATAGCAATAAAAATGAAAGGTAAAGTAATACCTCGATCATTTTAAATAAAAATGTTCCTAAAAAATACTTAAGGTCTTTTAAAGCTAAATACATGGTATGGAGTTTAGTCATTGTTGAAGGCAGTTCAGTGACCTATAGTTGCTTACATCAACCTCATTTCAATTTTGATGGAAAGTTGTCCCATTGTCAATCATACCACATCTACTTATTTTCATATTATTTACATGTATGGTACAAATATAAAATATGCTTTTTTCAATCCACATATGATAAAACTGCACAGATACCATGAAATATGTGAATTTTTGTATAAAAACTTTGTGCTCACAATATTTCTCCACATGTAAAAACAATGTGTTTCTAATAAATCAGAACTAGAGGGTCCTTCATTTCTCCCCTGGTATCTATGAATAATATCAGCTAATGTGGCCGCCAAATTTCAATAAGAACATGGTTGTATGGCAATTGAAAGCAAAAATGAAGGAAAACTTCTTGTGTGAAAAAAATCTGACAGCTACCCATGCCCAGATTTACTTGGTTGAATTAGAGACATTCATCATACATTTTTTCATGACAATTTTATATATTGGTTGATTGTACAGCCTATTAGAATTTCATAAAAGTATTAGATAAAAAATGGACAGTAACAATACTGACAGTGATAATGATAGATATTACCATGATTACAGAAATCACAAAATTAAAAAAAAAAATCAAATAAAAAATTTATAAAAATATAAAACAATCTTAACTTTTAGCACTACTGAGCTGTACATAATATAAATAGCTGAAATGGATTGGTTATGATGCTCATACTAAATACAAGTAGGAACAGAAAGGATATGATGATTGTAAGCACTGACCTAAATATGTAGTCAGACCTGATAATTCTATACAACATTTTGTTTCCTTTAATATAAATGATGAATTATAACAATATATTAAGTATATATACATTTATATAATAACCATCTGTACAAGTCGGTTAAAAGAAAGAAAAAATATTTTGAAACTGTTAAAAAAAACCATTCAAATGTCACTAAAAATGAGGGTGTAGAGTAGCATAAAAATAGGTAATTTTCATTTAAGAGAAAGCAGAAATGTGGCTCTAATATAATAATGAAGTGATAATGTTTACTATTTCTTATGACTAAGAGTTTATAAATAATTTGCTTATGCATAAGAAGATATGCCAAATAAAACTCATTTCAATGTGAAATAAAGTCTGAAATGAACACTTTCTCTTGGCCATGTACTCAAAATTAAAACTGCATATCTATACATTAATTCCTGCTTTGGAACAATTGATAAAGCAGATGCAATATACTGGCCTATTCTATAAGTACTTCTAAAATTGAAAATTTAAAATTCACTGAATAATATAAACTAAGTTGTAAAGTCACCTGATTTTTTTTACATTATTATAATGTATGAGGTAATGCTTATAAGATAATGGAATTTAATTATTGAATATTATGCAAAATAAGAAAAACAATAAAAGTGACACCCCCAAAATTCAAACTTGATCTATATTTTGTGGTAATAAGCATTGTGTATAAGTTTCAAAACATTTGGTTGAGGCTAACTTAAGTTAGAGAACGGAAATGAAAAATTCAGCAATTTTTCCATTTGTAAAGGGACATAACTCTAGAATGGTTAAAGTGATGCCACCAAAATTCAAACTTGATCTGTGTTTTGTCGTAATAAGCATTGTGTATAAGTTTCGTAGCATTTGGTTGAGGCAAACTAAAGTTAGAGAACGGAAACGAAAAATTCAGCAACTTTTCCATTTGTAAAGAAGCATAATTCTACAACGGTTAAAGTGACGCCACCAAAATTCAAACTTGATCTGTGTTTTGTGGTAATAATCATTGTGTATAAGTTTCATAACATTTTGTTGAGGAAAACTAAAGTTAGAGAACGGAAACCAACTTTGGGACGGACGTACAGACGGACAAGGGTAAAACTTAATGCCCCCTCCGCTACGGTGGGGGCATAAAAATATATGCAGTACTTCATAAAAATTATGCCATTCTATAACTACATTTACTAAACTTAATTATTATTTATTGACATTGTGTTTCTGACAAATAGTGTATAATACAGTGTAGTAATACAGTAGGTGAAAACAATTACTAGAACACCAACCCTATGGGACTATAAGTCACTTAAATCGTATAGTTTTCAAAACAAGTCTACAATCTGTAATCTCATTTATGTTAAAATATTATTTTCATCATATACATAATTCAGCCTCACTTAGAGCATTTAGTTGCATTACCCTCCCCTCTCTCCTTAGATTGCTTAGATAGATATTTTTAATTCATTTCACATATATGACACATACAAATATGTGATATTTATTGGCCATAAACAGTCAGATATCACATTCATAATTTCTTACTATTACGTAACGACATATCTAAATCAACTGAGGGCTGTACACAAATATTCCCATGTCATGTACATTTCAACAATGAAAATCAATGAATGTAATCCCATAAAAATCTGAGGGGAAAATGAAACAAAATTAATGGGGAATGTGTTCATGGGACACAGATGCATGGACACAGATGATGCCCCCGCTTGCATATCATATAAAGTTATAAAGGGACATAACTGAAGAACGGGAAAGTGACGCTAATCAAATTTGTACTTGATCTGAGTTTTGTGGTAATAATTTGGTTGAGGCAAACTTGAGTTAGAGAATGAAAACAAAATTCAGCAATTTTTCCATTTGTAAAGGGGCAAATCTCTAGAACAGTAAAAGTGACGCCACCAATATTCAAATTTGATGTGTTTTGTGGTAATAAGCATTGTATATAAGTTTCCTAACATTTGCTTAAGGCAAACTAAAGTTAGAGAACTGAAACGAATTTTGGAATGTACGGATGTACAGACGGACAAGGGTAAAAATCATTGCCCCCTCCACTACAGTAATTTGTAAAGGGGCATAACTCTAGAAAAGTAAAAGTGACACCACCCAAATTCAAACCTGATCTGTGTTTTCTGGTAATAAGCATTGTGTATAAGTTTCATAACATTATGCCCAGCCCAAATATTTGACAGTAAACAGGAAGTTGTTGAGTGATTAATCTGAAAACGCATCACATGGTACAGCTGACTTATATAAACCCTGAAACCAAATTTCAGAAATCCTTGTCAAGTAGTTCCTGAGAAAAATGTGACGAAATTTTCAACTTGGCTATCATGTGTAAAATAATACAAGTGTTCAGTAAACAGGAAGTTGTTGAGTGATGAATCTGAAAACGCATCACACGGTGTAACTTACTTATATAAACCCTGAAACCAAATTTCAGAAATCCTTGTCAAGTAGTTCCTGAGAAAAATGCGACGAAAATATTCATGGGACAGACAGACTGACGGAAGGACAGACAGAGGTAAAACAGTATACCCCCCTTTTTTAAATCGGGGTATAATAAAACAGTATACCCCCCTTTTTTAAAGCGGGGTATAAAAAACACAATCTAATCTATTCTAAAAAAAAAACAGGTCAGTAGTTTGTTAATCAACAAATTAAAAGTGAAATATGTTTCAATGTCCACTGCTGATGCACATATTTTATGTCCATGGGCAATAACTCTGTCAATTTGGATCAACATACTTGCCTTATATTTACATTTCTTGAGTAATACTTTATACTTCTTTGGGACCAATTTGTTCATACAATGCATAAGTACTTACAGAAAATCTGTGCTCTTGCCAATTTTTTAAATAAATTTATCATATCTAAACAATGAAAATTATGAAAATCGTGAAAATTGCATATAACTCCGGAAAAAAAATCACCTAGGTTAACCAATCAAACCCCCCTTAAACACAATGATATATTTGTGTCATGTCCTTAATATTGACCTGATCAATGACATATATCAAATGTCCAGTACTGGGTCCTAGTAATGGAATTTTGCCAATATCTTTGCATAAAGCTGCATAGGGTGACAACTATAAATGCAGCAATTTAAGCAATCAGAAAATTTTCCAATATCAATGTGAATTGTCCTATAATGTGTCAAATATCATACAAATTATACAATGAAGACATTGAACTGTACCGGTAACTGTATTCCAGGATCCTTTGACTTCTTTTTTTTAATTAACCAACAGAAATAGATACAATAAAATGTTAACATTGAAACTATGATAATTTTTAGGTATTTTTTCAATCATATTTTCTAATAAAGGTGGATTGAAAACTGAACAGGAGGACTAGAGTGGACCTCTTAATGTTTTTTTTTTTGCTCCATTCAGTACATGTATGGGAACATATGTAATTTTAACACTCTGTTAATAAGTATGTAAATGTATATGTAATACAATGTATTTTTAAATTAGTTCCAGAAATATAAAGAAATAAGGCATTAATATGTGTTAAATAAATCTATATTTTGTAATGTTACTATGTCATTACCAAATGTTGTATGTAATGTTCTCTTATGTTGAAAATATGAAAAATAAGGGTACTTTTTTTTCATTTGTACCATGAATGAGGGTCTGGATGGGGTTTACAGAATAGAGAGTAATGGGCAAAAAGTGCAGAATAAAGGGCAACATAAATAAAGAATAATAAAAAACAGTCAAAAAAATAAAGAATAGAGAATAATGGGGTGCTAAATTATAAAAAATAGAGAATAATAGGCAAAATAAATAAAAAATAGAGAAAAAATGGTCTAAAAAATAAAGAAAAGTTGGACATCCACACCCTCATGCACAAAACAGAACAAACTACAGCCTACATACTGGTTAATCATCCCATATTAACGTGCCTGCCTTAGTCGTAAACTTTTGGTAAAGTGTGACACAAAACAGGGCATCTGAACTATATCATTGTACTCGGCTTCACCGTTATTTGGCTTATATGTCATCCCCACTGTTTTGTTTACTGAGGTTAGTACAGAATAGAAATCTTCATTTACTTCCATATCTTCAATGGCCTTTGACAGATGTCTGATGAAGGGAGTACCTTCTGCAGCATTTCTAAAAGCTCCAGCACCTGCAATATTGCAATTTTCAAAATTCATACCTTGTCACAAGTAGTAAAATTTGTATAAAAATACTGACACATTTTACTGTAAAGAACATTAAGACTTACTGACTTATTAAAATACAGTTTTTGAGAATTCCTTTTTTTTCCTGGGTACCAATTTTTGATAATTGAGGATAACTTGCATTTTCATGGATACTTGAATTCTTGGTTTTACCTTTTCTACATTGAATATTATTGGAAACTTGTATTTTGTTGAACAATTAACCCTGCTTCATTTTCATGTGTCTATCCCAAGTCAGGAAACTAGTTAATTAATGCCATATCTTAATGTTTTCTATTATTTGGAGAGTATGGTTTTCATCTATTTGAAATCTTACTAAGATTCTTCGGATTCTAATTGTAAATTTACCTCTTTCACAAATACATCATATGAACTACCTACTACTAAAGTATTTTTGCATTTAATTAAGTACCTGGAACTGTTGCATATGCAAATAAAAAATCAGCTTCATTTGGAAGACGAATAGTTTGAGTTACCGGACGTATCCCCAACCATTCATTATATTCCGTTGGGTCTCCCATAGCATCAGCTCGGTTTGGATCCGAAAGTCCGACATTAATCCCATGACTCAAGTTTGTTCCTCTGCATGACTAAAGCAAAACAAAAATTATTGGTACTGTCTACAAGTCTTCCTTAACAAAATGAACAATGACCTACTGCTAACAAAATGATATGCTGCTGAAACTTCTGAATGAAAACAATTATTGATCTAGTAAGAAGTAATCCAGTAACAAATCGGCAACAAATCTTCAAATCTTCATTCCCAAGGAAAAGTGCCCTTTTCCCTCCCTCCTTAATAACTAAGGTTTATCCACAATACTCAAACCAAACCATATGTTTTAATCATGTTTATTCCAGTTTCTTTTAGGAACTATTATTGTGTTAACAAACCAAGTCAGAAGTAATGATGTACAAATAGATTTTTTATATATATATAGAATACATTTCGTCATGAGAATCTTATAGTATTATATGTCCACTTCTGATAAAAATCATTTAATGGAGATAGCAATATATTTGAGATCCAAGTGCAATGGTCTATCTTCCTATACAACTAAAATACAAGATTTCTACACTACGAGTTTTTGTCAGAACTACACTGTTCTATCTCCTTATTCCCATTGGATTATAATGGCTCATTCATCTAGTTAAAGCAGAGAAAAATATTTTTAAAGCGTTGTATCTCCACTATTTTTCAGGTATTTTTGCATTTAAATAATTGTTAATAAAATTATCTTAGTAGTACTATGCTTTTGAAAGCAATCTATGAGCAATTCTTAGCAAATCCGGCAGTCCAAAATTGGGGATATTACACCAGTAAAAAATTCACTCAATCGATTTATGAATTTCGAACAGCAGTATACTACTGTTGCCTTTATTTTTCTTTATCTATCTCCAATTGAAATGTAGGGATAAATTTCTAAAACAGCATTGTTTGTAGTGAGGTCCAACCCTGAACAGTTGGGGCAAAAATGGACACAATATTCAAGCTTGATACAGGTCTGAATTTGGATTGTAATTAAATATTTGATATATTATAGGTTTCTGAATAAATGTAGTCAAAGAACTTGAAATTGGCAAGATTTCTTGCTGTTGTGCAATAGACTGTGCTGTTGCGCAATACTTAGTAAATCTGTTGTCAGACTATAATTCTTATATGATTTGCATATTAGGGAATACTTTGATATGATTGGTCGAGATGACTTCCGGTAGTTGTTCTTGACGTTGTTTATTTTTCGATAGACGATGTTGACCGACCTTCTTTTTGTAACAAATGTAAACAAGATGGTGGCGACGTTAAAAATATTTATTTTCACTTTGGGTGCATCATTAAATTAAAAAATAAACATAAAACATTCATTTGAATGATAATAAGATATTTTTGCAGTTAAATTTTTTTATCAGATAGCAAATTTCATGGATTAAATTTTTTGGCGTTAACCAAAATATATATCCATGCACCTGGCCAATTCAGTGACATAAATATACAATTTACATGTGACAGAGGTTCAGAGTGTGGAAATTAAATTCCTTATCTCCAATTTTGAAGAATTATAAGGATTAAACGCCTTTTTAAAGGAATTTATTGGTGTATAAACTGGACAAAGTCACTCACAAACATATCATAAAAGTCCTTTGGACTTTTATTTGTTTGTGAGTGAATTGGTTGAGTTTATACACCAATAAATTCCTTATAAACTCAACCAATTCACTCACAAACAAATAAAAGTCCGAAGGACTATTATGATATGTTTGTGAGTGACTTTGTCCAGTTTATACACCAATAAATTCCTTTAAAAAGGCGTTTAATCCTATAATAAACAAATAAAATCTTATTACTCGGAAACATAAAATCGAAAATTTATAAAAATCAAAAGAGAGCTTACAAAAATAGATATAAACAATTTACCTAAGTTTCATAAAAAATGCTGAAAGCATTTTTGAGTTATTGTCAAATTGAAATTGAAAACTGGAAAATCCCCCTTTATGTAATGAATAAAACCCCATAAATCAGAAACGTATTGTCTAAAATTTATAAAAATCAAAAGGGAGCTCATGTCGATAGAAATAAACAATTCATCAAAGTTTCTTGCATATTGGTGAAATTGTTTTTGAGTTATTGGAAACTACCCCTTTTTTAATGAATAAAACCCCAAAACTCGGAAATGGTAAGTACGAAATTTGTAAAAAACAAGAGGGAGCTCACGTCAATAGATATGAACAATTCACAAAAGATTCATGCAAATTGGTGAAATTTTTTTGGAGTTATTGTCCGAAAACTGGAAAATCCCCCTTTTTTTAATGAATAAAACCCCAAAACTCAGAAACGGTAAATTCAAAACTTATAAAAAACGAAAGGGAGCTCACGTCAATAGATATAAACAATTCACAAAAGTTTCATGCAAATTGGCGAAATTGTTTTTGAGTTATTGTTCGAAAACTGGAAAATCCCCCTTTTGTAATGAATAAAACCCCAAAACTCGGAAAGGGTAAATCTGAAATTTATAAAAAACGAAAGGGAGCTCACGTCAATAGATATCAACAATTCAACAAAGTTTCATGCATATTGGTTCAAGCGTTTTTGAATTAATGTCCGACATGTTGACGACGGACGGACGGACGGACGGACAGACGGTCAACAGTATACCATAATACGTCCCTTAAACCAACGTATAAAAAAACCAAATCGAACAAAGAGATACTCCTCATGTATGTAAATTCCATTCCTATACCGTAAATTGGAAAATTTTGGCGTCTGGATATTTTGGCGGTTTTCTCTCGAAAGGCATGTGTTTTATTTTGGTGTGTGTAATTTTGGTGTTTCGTCCAATTGATATGGTTAATTTTGGAACAACAGTAGTGAGCAAGCTCATTCATATTTGCCTTTATTTACCAGTTTATTGACAAAAAATCATTGAATTTCTTAAACTAGAAACACGATAAAGTTAACTTAATGAAGGAATCGGATACGGATGCAATTGCAAATAATTCCGTATATCGTCGTTCAAAGTTTAAGAAAATATGAAATAAAATCTTAAAAATCAAAATCACTTTTTAAATAGATTATTTATTTTTAACAAATATCATATGAAATAAATTTTAATCATCTCTATTACAGTACTTGAAGTTGTTAATCTATTGACGATCAAGGATTTAAATTTTAATCCTTGCCTCTGGCAGTACATGTTAATTAATTGAAGATAAAGGATTACAAGGAGTTTTGATATTCTAATTACCAATAACTGCGTCTAATCAGCAATATCCTGGCATATTTATGACATGTGTGAAAAAAAAATTCATGCTGTGTTTTCTTAACAATTTCAGAAAATTGACAATTAAGTAAAAATTATATAGTGTTGTTGTCAAATTATACCAGCTATTTATTTGCAGATTTGGCTATGTATAGACTTGTAGGAAATATAACATTTAATATTTTCCCCGACAATTAACATTACAATATTGTCTTACCGGTAAGCGATTTTTTGCGTTTCAATTTTTAGTGTTTGCTTTATTTTCGTGTGTTTAATTTTGGCACTTTCATTGGAGGCACCAAATAGCCCAAAATAAAACTACAACCAAAATAACCCAATTTACAGTATAAATTTTTATGACTCAGTCGAATATTTACGCTTTTAAACTTTAATTCAAATTTTTACCACTATTACCAAATGGGAAGTACATCATTATAAGATTCACACGACGATTTGTACTGGTTTTTATTGTATTTTCTTTTCTGTATGTTTTGTTAATCTACTGATCAAGATAAAAAAAGGAGGAGGGTCCCAAGGAAAAGTGAACAAATGAATCTAAACTACTGTAAATTCAAACATCTTTGCAATGATTTACTTATCAGGGCTTCCACTCTTACTTCAACAAAAGTTCCAAGGTTTATCCAGGATTTTCCCAAAGACATTGGTCTATTACTGACATTATCAGAAGACATGTTTGAAGAAACAATCCGTTCTGTTTGAATTTCAGACATTTGGACAAGTTCTGTGTACAGAAATTATTGAACGATGTAAAGTAGTGTGCTGATCAGCATTAAAGTGGCGAGATTTGAATTGTGAAAGGGAAATAACTCAAACTTTAAAACCTGCTGACATCTGTTAGAAAATTTAAGGGTTTTTATATATATTTAAAGATTGTTGTAGTTTCACTAATTTCTAGAGCATTTCTCTGTCTATATTAAGTTCATCACTTTTTCCATTTTCAAGGTATAGTCAGATACCTGTATATTTGTGAACAATGTGGTGGGATTAATTTCATATTCATCAGAACTAGCATGTTTTAAAAAATTTACATATAGGATTTTCAGAAATTGCATGAAACAAACAAAATTGATGAAACAAAAATCAAGTAAATTTGAGATTGTTTATATGTTAATTAAGCTTTTTGATGTCAGCAACTTTTACTTTAATACATGTCTTATTAAAATCTTATCTGAACTGAAAAGCTGAAAGAATTTTCAAACATATGAATAGTTTCTGTTATAACTTTTAATTTGGAGAGTTAATGAAATTAAGATGTTGCAGTGTCCTAACATTCCCATATTTTTTGGTACCGAAAATCATTCAATATTTAGTATTAAAGTAAGGTTTATATAAGTCTAAATGAATAAGGACTCCTTAAGTTAAAAGGTCATCAAAATCTGAAATAATACATTTTGCTCTTTTTCTAATACTGTGGATTCATTATTATTCGTTGGATACCAATTTTCGTGGGTTTCGTGGGTACATGTGAACCACAAATTCAAATGTTCAACGAATTACAAATTTTTCATAGGCTGTATTTGCAGAGATTTGTAAATCCACGAAATCAAATATCCACAAAAATGTAAGTTTTCCTCAACCAACGAAAACTGATACCCACGAAAATAAATGTATCCACAGTATAGTTTAAACAAAATCTAACTAAAATTTGAATGTCAAAATCATCTGAAAGATGTTTAACCTATGATGCCTAAAAGTTCCTATCAAATGCAATATCTATATTGTTGTTGATATACAAAAACTTTATATTGTCTACATTTGAATATATAAGGTATGAGATATGGTATAATAGCTAAGACAACCATTCAATAAAGACTGAA